ACTGTGTTGACATGGAAAGGATTAGGCTTGCCCACATGCCCCCCATCGAATCCCTAGTGGCTTCCCATCTACACCCCAGCCAGAAGTCCTCCGTGACCTCGACTGGCCCCACCTTACCTACCAAGTACGAGCGCTTCCAGTCCTCTGCGACAGAGAAGGTCTACAGGTCGGTTGCCACATCGGTGTGGGCTTTCAGCACCGCCTCCATGCTCTCGGCATAACAAGCTGAGCTACAGGAGGAGATAGCGGTCACACCAAAGCCGGGTTTATGAGACAAGATCTGTACTGCCACAGACCTCAACCTGCGTCTGCTTAAAGCCGCCTTACAGACGTCAGGAAGAGCGATGGGGCTCATGATATCCCAGGAGAGGGCGCGATGGCTCAATCTATCCACGGTGTCTGATAGTGAGAAGCTGGATATTCCAGTAGACCCTAAAAGCCTTTTTGGTCCCACCGTTGAGATGATGCAGAAACGGTGCGAGGAGAAAAAGAGGGAGGGTGAAGCCCTCCAGTTCTGTCTGCCCAGGAAGACACAGCCCAGTGCCTTTCCTGTGTCTCGCCGCACCTTCGCCCAGGCTGCAGCAGGTCGACCCCCCCTCAGCTTTTAAGCTCCCCAGACGCCCAGCCCCCCAGGCTGCGAGCCCAGGGCAACAGAGAACCTTGGACCCTAAGGGCCCCTGGTCTAAGAAGCCTCCCTTCTCACCAATGGCACCAAGGAGCCAGCTGGCCCCTAACCCCACCCAGGGGGTAAGGAGGAAGAAGCGGATGGCCTAGAGGTGTCCCCATCGCCAGAGAGGTGAAAACGGCCTCCCCCAAGCACAGTTCTATCTCCTCTACATCACCATGTACAGATCTCCATAGATTGCACGGTAGCACTGCACTCCTGGAGACACCCAACGTTTCTGTCACAGGGTGCCCAGATGGGCACTGTTTTATCCAGAAAAGTAGTCACGACGGGCGTGTCTCTCTCGTGTTGGGGTGCAACCCACGAGGGCAGAAAGGTCAACGGGGTGTGGGGAACCCATCTCCGTTCTATTCACATAAACTGCCTGGAACTCCTTGCAGTGTCCCTAGCATTAAAGTCGTTTCTCCCATTTCTGGAGGGTCGTCATGTTCTAGTCAGAACAGACAATACCACCGTTGTGGCTTACATAAACAGACAAGGGGGACTGCGATCCCCTCACTTACACACACTGGCACACAGACTGATTATGTGAAGCGGTGTGCCACTCCAGTCACTGAGAGCTACTCATGTACCGGAAGTACTGAATCTGAGGGCCGATTTACTCTCCAGGAGGGAACCCGCTATATGGGGAGTGGAAGCTCCACCCAGAGGTATCCAATCAGGTTTGGATGCACTTCGGCATTCCAGCAGTGGATATTTATGTATCACTGGAGAATACAGTGTCCACTATTCTTTTCCCTGAGGGATCGGGATGCACCGATGGGAGTGGACGAGTTGGCACACGAGTGGCCATGCGTCCTACTGTATGCATTCCCCCCCGCTGGCCCTGATTTCCCCCACCCTAGCCAGGGTGCAGGAGAAGGGTCTATTTCTCATACTAATAGCACCACATTGTCCAGAGAAACACTGGCTAGTGGAGATCACTCAACTACTATGCGGTCAACCGTGGCCCCTCCCTCCGCGTCAGGACCTACTGTGCCATTTGCACAGGGTGACTTTCCATCCTCACCCAGAACAGTTGGCACTCTGGGCATGGCCCGTGAACGGTTGAACTTGAACACTGCCGGGCTTCCCCAAAATGTCATTTCGACTATTCAGAGAGCTACAGCCTCATCCACCAGGTCCTTTTATGATTGTAAATGGCGCGTGTTTGAGGAATGTGCATTAAATCACAGACCGTGCCATTCCAGTGCTCTGTCCGAGTAATCCTGTTGTTTCTACAGGAAATAATAGACAAAGGAAATGCTTTTTCTACTATTAAGGTACAGTACCAGTCAAAAGTTTGAACACACCTACTCATTCAAGGGTTTTTCTTTATTTTTATTATTTTCTACATTGTAGAATAATAGTTAAGACATCAACTATGAAATAACACATATGGAATCATATAGTAACCAAGAAAGTGTTAAACAAATCAAAATATATTTTATATTTGAGATTCTTCAAAGTAGCCACCCTTTGCCTTAATGACAGCTTTGCACACTCTTGGCATTCTCTCAGCCAGCTTCACCTGGAATGCTTTTCCAACAGTCTTGAAGGAGTTCCCACATATGCTGAGCACTTGTTGGCTGCTTTTCCTTCACTCTGCGGTACAACTCATCCCAAACCATCTCAATTGAGTTGAGTTGGGTGATTGTGGAGGCCATGTCATCTGATGCAGCACTCCATCACTCTCCTTCTTGGTCAAATAGCCCTTACACAGCCTGGAGGTGTGTTGGGTCATTGTCCTGTTGAAAAAGAAATGATAGTACCACTAAGCGCAAACCAGATGGGATGGCATATCTCTGCAGAATGCTGTGTTAGCCATGCTGGTTAAGTGTGCCTTGAATTTTAAATAAATCACTGACAGTGTCACCAGCAAAGCACCATCGCACCACCTCCTCCATGCTTCACGGTGGGACCACACATGCGGAGATCATCTGTTCACCTACTATGCGTCTCACAAAGACAGCGGTTGGAACCAAAAATCTCAAATTTGGACTCCAGACCAAAGGACAGATTTCCACCGGTCTAATGTCTATTGATTGTGTTTCTTGGCCCAAGCAAGTCTCTTCTTCTTATTGGTGTCCTTTAAAAAATAATATTTTGACATTTTAGTCATTTAGCAGATGCTCTTATCCAGAGCGACTTACAATTAGTGAGTGCATACGTTTTTCATACTGGCCCCCCGTGGGAAACAAACCCACAACCCTTGCGTTGCAAGCGCCATGCTCTACCAACTGAGCTACAGGAGGGCTTTCTTAGTAGTGGTATCTTTGCAGCAATTAGACCATGAAGGCCTGATTCACGCAGTCTCCTCTGAACATTTGATGTTGAGATGTGTCTGTTACTTGAACTCTGTGAAGCATTTATTTGGGCTGCAATCTGAGGTGCAGTTAACTCTAATGAACTTATCCTCTGCAGCAGAGGTAACTCTGGGTCTTCCTTTCCTGTGGCGGTCCTCATGAGAGCCAGTTTCATCATAGCGCTTGATGGTTTTTGCGACTGCACTTGAAGAAACTTTCAAAGTTCTTGAAATGTTCCGGATTGACTGACCTTCATGTCTTAAAGTAATGATGGACTGTCATTTCTCTTTGCTTATTTGAGCTGTTCTTGCCATAATATGGACTTGGTCTTTTACCAAATAGGGCCATATTCTGTATACCACCCCTACCTTGTCACAACACAACTGATTGTCTCAAACGCATTAAGAAGGAAAGAAATTCCACAAATTAACTTTTAACAAGGCACACCTGTTAATTGAAATGCATTCCAGGTGACTACCTCATGAAGCCGGTTGAGAGAATGCCAAGCGTGTGCAAAGCTGTCATCAAGGCAAAGGGTGGCTACTTTGAAGAATCTCAAATTATATATGGTTACTACATGATTCCATATGTGTTATTTCATAGTTTTGATGTCTTCACTATTATTCTACAATGTAGAAAATAGTCAAAATAAAGAAAAACCCTTGAATGAGTAGGTGTGTCCAAACTTTTGACTGGTGCTGTGTATCTGGCAGCTATTTCGGCTTGTCATGTGGGTTTTGGGAGCACGACAGTGGGGCAACACCCCCTTGTCGCCCGTTTTATGAAGGGTGCACGTCGTTTGCATACGGTGTCCGAACAGCTTGCCCCGTCATGGGACTTATCAGTTGTTTTGGATGCTCTATGCCAACAGCCTTTTGAGCCCCTGGATCAGGTGGAGGTGAAGATGCTTTCATTTAACACAGCACTATTACTAGCACTGGCCTCCACCAAGCGTGTAAGTGACATTCACGCACTCTCAGTGTACTCATCATGTGCACAATTTGCACCCGGTAACGATAGGGTATCATTGCAGCCTAACCCCGCCTTTATCCCTAAGATTATTAACCCATCTTTGTCTTCCCCTTGAGCTGGTAGCTTTTTATCCCCCACCGTTTTCCTCTCCGGAACATCAACGGGTAAAGTGCTCACTAAACAGCGCCTCTCCCACTGGTAGTGGGGGCTATCGCTTTGGCCTACACAAGAAAGGGTCTTCAGTCTCCTGCTGGCCTACAGGCTCATTCCACTAGAGGAATGGCATACTGTTTTACGTGTAGGATCTTCTGATGAGCAGGAACAGGGGCAGGGGAAAAAAGACGTCATCCGTATGCACTCGAATAGCGAATGGAGGCACTCGAATAGCGAATGGAGGCACTCGAATAGCGAATGGTGGCCGCTTTCCCGCATGTATTTATATTTTCAATCATGCTACTCCAGTTTTATAGCGGAGAATGTTATTAATATGAGCAGCTGAGAAATAAATATAGTAGGAGCGCTTTTTGTTGTTGTTGTTGTGGCAACCATCAAAACTGTGCTTTCACAGTTTGCGTATGCATAAGCTCTAATATGCGTATGGGTATTTTGAATTAATTGTCACCTTAGAAAGCACTGTCCATTCCATTGTGTTAGGCTTTAACAACATCCACAACGGCCATATTTTCCACTCAGTTTCAACCTGTTGTTGAATTTATTTCTTCAAATTGATCAATCACAGTGAGGTGAGTTTTTTAAAAGCATGATACTGTTTTGATAAGTGTTTGAAGTGATTTTTGATTGCAATTGCATTGTCAGAGTGGTTCGAGGGACAATTGAGCACTGAGTACCAGGCCATTAGCAACCTGACGGTTGTTAGCGAGTTGGGTACTACAAACGCATGTCCAGAGTGCATAAAAGGAGATTACCGTGACTCAACGGTCACATGGAATTTTACTGCGGTCATGACTGCCGGTGTGGTGGTAATATGGTCACCGCAACAGCCCTAGTTCTGCCTCCAGGGCAAGATTCATGACAATAAACGTCAACCTGCTCTGTTTATGGGTGCTGGGGAGCACGATGGAGAATCTCTGACTGTGTCCTCTCTCCTCAGATGGGCCCTGTGGTATTTCAAAAACGACAAGAGCAAAAGCTGGACAGAGAACCTCCGTCTCATCGCAAAGTTTGACACAGTGGAAGACTTCTGGGCGTGAGTACTCGTCCTCTCCCTCCTCCTCATCCTCTTTTACCTCTCCACGCTATGACATCACCATGACAGAGTGGAAAGAAGGGGGTTATTCTATTTAGCAGGGCGGAACGTTAATTTGCAGCTATAAATGCATTGTACAGAATGGAAACAAGTTTCTATTATGTGGAGTAAAGGACTGAGGCAGTTCTATGCAATGCATTGCTATCTGTGCCCTGAATGTGCCTCATTAGTTATCTCTAAATAGAAATGATGGAGAATGACATGGAGAATGACATGGAACAGGACATTTATAATCATAGTGTCTAATATTGTTGCATATAGGCCTGTGTTTAAGTGTGTCTCTTGGTTTTGTGTTGTAGATTATATAACCACATACAGCAGCCCAGCAAGTTAGGCTTCGGCTGTGACTACTGCTTATTTAAGGTAAGTTCACTTCTGAAACAAACAGTATCCCTTCAGAGGACTTATCGCTGTTCTGTTAAATAAAAACATCAGGGCCCGAATGCATAAAGCATCTCAGAGTAGGAGTGATGATCTAGGATCAGGTTTCCCCTGTCCATTCAATCTTATTCATTATGATCTAAAAGGCTAAACTGATCCTGGATTGGCACTTTTACTGTAAGACACTTTATGAATACGGGCCCAGGATCAGGGTTTCCATTAGGACAACATGTCCGGGAAGATTGTAATTTACCAGCCATTTGAGAAATGTACCGGACCCATATGTATTGGGTTCATAACCCATTAGGGCGTCCACCCACGGTGATCAGAATGACAGAAATAACATTTGGATTATGTTAATGCATCTTAACAGAACATGCAACTCATGTAATGAAGCAGACAATAAAACTTCATTTTCAAACATTTGCCAAAATGCAATTTGTGGGACAACACCATTCTAAACAGCACACCTGGGAAAACACCATTCTAAACAGCGCACCTGATAGTGGTTCCATTTGTGACAGAGATGAAAATCTCTGTTAGAAACTTAGAAAGAGGGGGAATCTAAAGATGCAACAACCGGATGGGTTGCTAATATGACTAGGATTGTTCCTTTTGCTTCTGGACATCGAAAGAAAGTTGCTATTAAAACCAGTAGAACAGGAGAGAAATGGCATAACGGTGGGTCCAATAGGGAAGTAAATGGAAATACATTTGCCAAAATTATATAATTACTCCTGTCTATACAGAAATAAATGAAATCATTCAAAATGCTTCACCAGAAAGCATGACTTAGCCACAGAGGAATCAAGGATAATTTGTTTCTTGTAAAAAATAGCTCGTAGGCCTATTTGGAAAGCCCGCCGTTTGGGCAGCACGCGTGGCATGGCAATAGGCCTAGCTGGTTATTGAGTTGCAGCTGTCAGTGAAGATAATGTGTCTTGAGTATAATTTTTTATGTTGAAACAAGACGGGGAAGTGGTGTGTGGCGAAGAGATAGGCGAGTCTCTCGCCAGAATGTCTCAGCTGTCTCCTGTCAATTCATTGTGTGAATTATTTGCACTTCGATTTTTTTTTTTTTTAAAACCAATTCCCCATTACATATGTCACCAGTAGTAAATGTACTATTAATCCCAATTTGGTTACATACATTTTTTTATTTAACCTTTTATTTAACTAAGCAAGTCAGTTAAGAACCAATTCTTATTTACAAAGACTGCCTACCAAAAGGCTTAAGTCCTTCTGCGGGGATGGGGAGGCCTTTTAATGCATGTATTAATTACATTAATTTACCGTTCTCATTCTTGGAGTGGAAACGTTGTTTGCAGAGTTCACAACCCGCTACACTTGTGAGGAACAAGTTTGGGTTTATTTCATAACCATCATTTAGGAGATGTGTCTATTTTTGAGCATGCCTGGTTTCCCTGTCCTGATAATGTTGAGGGAGCCTGCGCGCCTGAGCACGCATAGAAGTACCTGGTCTGCTGCGCGGAAATGAAGGGGAGTGTTGTTCTTTTGACATCCATTGCGAATGATGATATACAATGAATACAAATATAAACGCAACATGTAAAGTGTTGGTCCCATGTTACATGAGCTGAAAGAAAAGATCCCAGAAATGTTCCATATGTACAAAAAGCTTTTTGCTCACAAATTAGTTTACATCCCTGTTAGTGAGCATTTCTCCTGACAGGTGTGGCATATCATGAAGCTGACTAAACAGTATGATCATTACACAGGTGCACCTTGTGCTGGGGACAATAAAAGGGGACATTAAAAGGCAGTTTTGTCACACAACACAATACCACAGATGTCTCAAGTTTTGAGACAACCGAAGAATTGCTGAACAAACTGTCAGAAATCATCTCAGGGAAGCTCAACTGCATGCTCGTCGTCCTCACCAGGGTCTTGACCTGACTGCAGTTTGGCGTCGTAACCGACTTCAGTGGGCAAATACTCACCTTCGATGGCCATCAGCATGCTGGAGAAGTGTGTTCTTCATGGATGAATCCCGGTTTCAACTGTACCGGGCAGTTGGCAGACAGCGTGTATGGCGTCGTGTGGATGAGTGCTTTGCTAATGTCAACGTTGTGAACAGAGTGCCCCATGGTGGCGATGGGGTTATGGTATGGGCAGGCATAAGCTACGGACAGCAAACACAATTGCATTTTATCGATGGCAATTTGAATGCACAGAGATCCCGTGATGAGATCCTGAGGCCCATTGTCATGCCATTCATCCGCCGCCATCACCTCATGTTTCAGCATGATAATGCACAGCCCCATGTCGCAAGGATCTGTACACAATTCCTGGTTGCTGAAAATGGCCAGTTCTTCCATGGCCTGCATACTCACTAGACATGTCACCCATTGAGCATGTTTGGGATCTCTGGATTGACGTGTAAGAGCGTGTTCCAGTTCCCGCCAATATCAGCAACTTCGCACCGCCCTTGAAGAGGAGTGGTACAACATTCCACAGGCCACAATCAACAGCCTGATCAGCTCTTTACGAAGGAGATGTGTCGCGCTGCATGAGACAAATGGTGGTCACACCAGATACTGACTGGTTTTCTGATCCATGCCCCTACCTTTTTTAAGGTATCTATGACCAACAAATGCATATCTGTATTCCCAGTCATGTGAAATCCATAGACTAGGGCATAATTAATTTATTTTATTTGACTGATTTCCTTATGAACTGTAACTCGGATTTTGCCTATAGGCTACTTTGAAGCAAGGTAAGACATGCCTCAAAATTTGCCGGCTAACGGAAACCCTGCCCAACATGTACATTGCGGTCAAATTAGCTAACATTCCCCGACCGCTCTCTGTGTGTTTCAGGATGGGGTCAAATTAGCTAACATTCCCCGACCGCTCTCTGTGTGTTTCAGGATGGGGTGAAGCCGATGTGGGAGGATGACAAGAACAAGCTGGGCGGGAGGTGGCTGATGACCCTCAGCAAACAGCAGAGACAAATCGACCTCGACCGCTACTGGATGGAGACGGTAAGCATCATTATCCTTAAACCTGGGTCCTGTTCATTAGGCACCAAACGGAAGAAAATGGGACTGAAACAAGGATGGACTACCTGAACTCAAAGCTCATTTTTGTTTTCCATTGCTAAATGTTTTAGAATGTTTCCCGTTTTGCGATGGTCCAGGTAGTCCCTGCATCTTTTTAGTCAGTTTTCTTCCGTATGGTACCTAATGAACACAACCCTGCTGCAACTCTCCATGACTATACTTCCAGAGGATTGTCAAATAGTCTTCTGTATGGGACGGATCGCTAGAGGGCAACTTAACACGTAAAGAACATTTTATTAATTCCATAGTATCATGTACCGTACTTGATGTGTGATTTGTGTGTGTTGTAGCTGTTGTGTTTAATTGGTGAGTCGTTTGACGAGGCCAGTGAAGATGTGTGTGGAGCGGTGGTCAACATCCGACCCAAGGGAGATAAAATAGCCATCTGGACCGGGAACTGTCAGAACAAGGAAGCCATCGTGACAATAGGGTAGGTTATCTTTCTGGCCTTTTGTCAATTGGGGAAAAGTCTGTCCTTTCCTCCACTCCTCTGTGGCTTGGAAACTGATAAGTGGTCACTTTGTTAATAAGTGAACAGAGGATTTTCTTCCTATCCTCGATTGCATTCCTCCAGCGGAGGATGCTCAGTTGTATCCTACCGCGGAAGAGTTTTGAAATCAGCCACACACCCTTTGAAACAGCAGTTGTTTTCTAGAAGGAGAAAAGTGTGCGAACATTGATTAGAAACGCTACTTATTATTTTATCAAAAGATGTCTAGCACATCTAGCTAGTTTCTTTTTACCACTTTACACATGTATTTTGGGATTGCACACCTGTAAACGTCATTTGCCTAATGAAACACTAGAAGAGGAGTCTAATTTCATACTAGCGCATTTGTTTCTAAGTTTCCTCTTGCTTACCTTTGACCTATTTCAAAAGGAGGTAAGGACTGAGGAAAGGACGCAAGGAGTTGAAAAAATCAAATTGAGAATCTCACTCTCTCATGCGCACACACACACACACACACACACACTTTTATCCACCAATTACACATTTCATTTGGGCACATAAGCGACTTCTGTCTATGTGCATTCTGTATAGTATGTGTATTGAACAAGTAAAGATAATGATATTTATGTTATTCAAATGAAAAACGTTTCAATTGAAAAGGCTTTCCTTCAAGTTACCCCGGGAGTGCAAAAAGTGTGTAGTTGGCAGAAATGCCATCAGTTCTGAGACTAACGGTACTGCACTGTTTCTAGTTCCCCACTAGGTGGAGACAATGCATGTAAGACTGTACTGAGACCCTATTCAATATTATCTCCCTCATCTCTCTCTCCAGACAACAGTATAAAGAGCGCCTGAGTATCCCCATCAAGCTCCTGATTGGCTACCAGTCACACGATGACACGTCTAGCAAGAGTGGTTCCACCACCAAGAACATGTACTCAGTCTGATCAACAACACCTACCCCCATCTCAGCTCAACTAGCAACCCCCTGCATCAACAACACATTAATTATTTTCAGTTGTCAATTACTGTTAGTGTCCTTCCTTTTTACAGACGAGAGAATTGTTGAAACGTGTACAAAATTAGAGCTCCTCACTAACACCCGATGGACCGGCTGGCTAACCGCCGGTTCTGGTCGGGAAGAAGAGGAAGGAAAGAAAGTAGGGCTGCGTCAGCTGAAGCTGTTGGGATTTGACCTAGAAGATCATTAAATAAATGAGTTAATTTTAGAATTGGAGAGTATATGTAACTAATAATACCAGTGGCTTTCCCCATACTAACGTAACTGAGGAGAATATCTGTCGTTTAAGGCTTGATTAAAAGACCGACACCGTTCTTAGCTGTAAAACCTTTTCCTCTTCTCATTTATGATCATTCACTGTTATGAAAAGTGTTTCTCACCAACCCACCCAGGATAGAAAAAGTAGACGAGATTCATTCATTCATTCAGCAGATTTTAAAGGGCAACCAGCGTTTTAACCTTCTTTAGTTGGGTGTTTGGCATGAGAAGGGATTGCAGATAAGACAACGGTATCTTATATTTTTTCTTGTAAAAGAATAGTAGTGGTAACAGAAGAAAGGCCACTATAGTTTCAGCCATGCTGGGATTGTGGATCCTTTTCTTGTATAACTATTTTGAACTTTTGTTTCCCTTACATGCATTTATTATATATGCATTGCAGTTGAACTACATAGTTGGAGGACAACCATGAAAAAACTAAAGTTCCTTACAATTGTTTTTGTTATTGAGGTTAACGTCGTGGACTACTGCTTAATAATATAGAACATTTTTTACAGTGTATCATACTAAGTAAAGATGCCAGGACAAGTTTTAGGTCTGCTTCTTACTGTTTTCTTCCTAACAAACTGTAGAACATTTCGCACTTCTCTCTGGGTCCTGTGTGAGTGGAGAAAAAAGGGATATCTATCCATCGTGAAATGATTTTGCTCATAATGTATCTGTAATTCCAGGATGTATATTACCTTCTTTCAAGTAAAGGTTGTGCTTTGCATTAAAACCAGAACAACGCTGTCTCCTTTTCTGTGTTGTCTGTTTAGCATCACTTCCTTTAGTGTCATGGGGGTGCGTTCAATATACAGATTATGCATAGGTCAGAGCCCTATACCATATACAGTGCATTCGGAAAGTATTCAGACCCCTTGACTTTACACATTGTTACATTACAGCCTTATTCTAAAATTGATTAAATTGTTTTTTCCCTCATCAATCTACACACAATGGCCCATAATGATAAAGCAAAAACAGGTTTTTATAAATGTTTGCTAATTTATTCAAAATAAGAAGATGGAACTATCATATTTACATAAGTATTCAGACCCTTTACTTAGAACTTTGTTGAAGCACCTCGCAGCAATTACAGCCTGGAGTCTTCTTGGGTATGATGCTACAAGCTTGGCACACCTGTATTTGGGGAGGTTCTCCCATTCTACTCTGCAGATCCTCTCAAGCTCTGTCAGGTTGGATGGGGAGCATTGCAGCACAACTATTTTTAGGTCTCTCCAGAGATGTTCGATCAGTTTCAAGTCCTGGCTCTGGCTGGGCCACTCAAGGACATTCAGAGACTTGCCCCGAAGCCACTCCTGCGTTGTCTTGGCTGTGTGCTTAGGGTTGTTGTCCTGTTGGAAGGTGAACTTTCGCACTGGAGTAGGTTTTCATCAAGGATCTCTCTGTACTTTGCTCCGTTAATCCTTCCCTCGATCCGGACTAGTCTCCCAGTCCCTGCCGCTGAAAAACATCCCCATCAGCATGACGCTGCCACCACCATGCTTCACCATAGGGATGGTGGCAGGTTTCCTCCAGACGTGGCGCTTGGCATTCAGGCCAAAGAGTTCAATCTTGGTTTCATCAGACCAGAGAATATTGTTTCTCTTGGTCTGAGAGTCATTTAGGTGCCTTTTGGCAAACTCCAAGTGGGCTGTCATGTGCCTTTTACTGAGGAGTGGCTTCCGTCTGGCCACTCTACCATAAAGGACTGATTGGTGGAGTACTGCAGAGATGGTTGTCCTTCTGGAAGGTTCTCCCATCTCCACAGAGGAGCTCTGTCAGAGTGACCATCGGGTTCTTGGTCACCTCCCTGACCAAGGCCCTTCTCCCCCTATTGCTCAGTTTGGCTGGGCGGCCAGCTCTAGGAAGAGTCTTGGTGGTTCCAAACTTATTCCATTTAAGAATGATGGAGGCCACTGTGTTCTTGGGGACCTTCAATGCTGCAGACATTTTTTGGTACCCTTCCCCAGATCTGTGCCTCGACACAATCCTGTCTCGGAGCTCTACGGACAATTCCTTTGACCTCATGGCTTGGTTTTTGCTCTGACGTGCACTGTCAACTGTGGGACCTTATATAGACGTGTGTGCCTTTCCAAATCATGTCCAATCAATTGAATTTACCACAGGTGGACTGCAATTAAGTTGTAGAAACATATCAAGGATGATCAATGGAAACCGGATGCACCTGAGCTCAATTTCGAGTTTCATTGCATACGGTAGTTATGTTTATTTTTAATACGTTAGCAAAAACTTCTAAAAACCTGTTTTCGCTTTGTCATTGTGGGGTATTGTGTGTAGACTGATGAGGAACATTTATTTAATCAATTTTAGAACAAGGCTGTAACGTAACAAAATGTGGAAAACGTCAAGGGGTCTGAATACTTTCCAAATGCACTGATACGTGGTTTGAGCAGTTAGTGAGGTAACTTTGGTCAACTCTGAGTTCAACTCGGGATAACCACGAAAGTGGCTCACCTTTTAGCCAGGTACATTTCTATGGCAACGAATCCTTTAGAACTAGCCCTGATTTATCCTGAATGAGGTGTCTGATTATTGGTTTAATTGGCTCCCCATTAGCTTTTGCTGAAGCAGCAGCTACTCTTCCTGGGGTCTACAGAAAAACATAAAACACGACAAGTAACAAACATTGATAGACAACAGTCACACAAATTGTAAATACGATAAAGGTAATTTTGCTGTTTGCGTGAGTAATTGGAGATGGAAGGGAGTTCCATGCAATTATAGCTCTGTATAGTACTGTGCATTGCTGTGAATTTATTTTGGAGTTGGGGACTGTGAAGAGACCCCTGGTGGCATGTCTTGTGGGGCATGGATGGTTGTCTGAGCTGTATGTTATTTGATTATGCATACAATCTGGAATTTTCATCACTATATTTTTTATAAAAACTAGAAGAGAAGCAGTTAATCGCTCAACCAGGAAAGACTGGCATGCATGTTGATGTTAGTTCTGTATGTGCAGTTAAGGTTAAGGCATGCTGCTTTGTTTTGAGCCAGCTGCAGCTTTGCTAGGTCTTTCTTTGCTGCACTTGACCATATTACTGGACATTTTTAATCCCAGCCCCCGTCATTTTGCCTTTTGGTAGGCCGTCATTGTAAATAATAACTTGTTCTTAACTGATTTGCCTGGTTAAATAAAGGTTAAATAAAGGTTAAATAAAAAATATAAAACATGTTTTCTTTGTGTTATAAACATTTGTAATGTTAAAATACCTATCACATTACACATTTAGTAATGACAGAATGCATTTGAAACTTGACACACAGTAAAACTTGTGTATGACTTAATACAAATATTTTATTGATAGGAGCATGCCAAAGACCTAACGATAGGCATTATCGATAAGTAATAAAATAAAGACGGCACTTCAACAACCCTATTTCACAACATAGTCTGCGAAATTTGCAAGATCACTTGTCTTTCATTTTGGATTTGGCACAAATGAAAATGTGGCACCGACTTGCCCATGGATTGATGTGTCATTATAGTCTCAATGAAGAGTTCAGCGCTCGAATAGCCACGTGCGACATGAACGCGCAATTACAAGCCTGCAAGAGTACGTCTAGAGGTCGTTATAAATAAAACGTCACAATAAGGTGCAGAGCGTTCGATTTGACAAGCAGAATCCAAGCTCTGCTAAAACTATTGACAACTGCTTGCCAGCAGAAGGGCGCATTTGCCGATATACTGTAGCTGATTGGCCTAATGTTTACATTGCAAGCTGCCGGTAGAAACTTTGTAAAGTTTGCTAAACATAGTGGTAAGTTAAGTAGACCTAATGTAATTTTTTCTCCAACCAACGTAGGCCTACCTAGCGAAGTTAGCTAACATTATTTTATCCCCCTTTCAACATTGTGAGTGTTTAATCACGATTTCTGTTGACAGACATGATAGGCTACATTGAATGATGGACCACGTCAAATTGTCTAGCTACATTAGCTAATAACAGATCACACAAGCTAACTTTCAGGGGAACTAGATGGCTAGGCTATTTGCTTGCCATCTATAGTGGTGATGACAGTAGTCACAACTTTACCAGGGTGAGGATCAATTGATGTTTACTGATCATGAAAAGCATGCAGTTAATTGCTGTATAACTGATGATAGAGATACATGTGGAATAATCAGAAATGTGTAGTTCTGACTACTATGCTCTTCAAGAGGTGATGATATTATTTAAAACCAAATTGTTATAACATTTATTTAACAATCCCTTGAAAACGGCACGTAGTTGTCATTGGTTTTAGCAGAGTTGGGGGTCTCTACAGATGAAGCCTGGGCTGGAATGTGAAGCTGGCTACAGGCTAGCTTTAGAAAACGCTGGGTAGATCTAGCTTCAATCGTAGTATACCCCTCTGGTCTGAATAGATAATCAGATCTGTACAAAGCCTGTAGAAGTGTTTAATAACAATCCCAGGAACCATATTGTATGAACGTCATATAATCTCCCTATAAAATGCACAGAATCTGTATCTGAAACGCACCCAGTATCTACTTTTGCTCTGTGTTGAAATCCAGATCGATCCCTACCTCTACGATGTATGTACAGTCGTGGTCAAAACTTTTGAGAATTACACAAGTATTGGTCTTCACAAAGTTCGCTGCTTCAGTGTTATGAGATATTTTTGTCAGATGTTACTATG